ATTGTAACCTGCCCATAACAATTATTTGAACAAATACAAAAACTTTGGTGTTTTTTGATGAGTTACTTTCATTTTTGTTTCTACTTTTCATTTAAAATAAGTTTCCATTCTCAGCAGGTTTCTAAGGTTCTTCTTCTACATATTAAAAAGTTGTTAAACATCTGAGTGGTGCACTACTGCTACTARTGGTGAGAAAGTGTATTGCACCTTATTCAAACTCAATGTGGTCCCACGGCCCAAAGTTAAGAACTGTTGTTCTTCTGAGGCACTCAAGGTGGCGCTGTGGGCCGCAGCCCACAGGTTAAGAATCTGCTGTAAAGCAAAGATGAACATCACAGATTTGTTTGTGTTGTTGGTTAAACCTTCTTTCAATGTACAACAAAAAAGGTTGCAAGTGTTGAGGCATGTTTTATGAAATCACTCCTAACTCACACTCGTGTCACTTTTTCTTTGTAGTCGTCTGCATCTGTGCCCAACGTGGACGACCCCGAGGCCTTCCCAGCCCTGGCCTAAGCTCCAGCTGGGACCCCTCAGGCCTACAGGAGCCCTCCAAGCATCTCCACTACGAGGCTTGCATGTTCCTGGATCCTTCAGCAAAGTCAAATGATGGAGAAGACTGTCATAACTTTGACACTCAACGTGAGGACTGAGTTTTATCCAATAAAAACAAAACAGGATTTAAAAAAAAAAAAGCAAAAATTAACAAAAAAAATCCCAAAAAGAAAAGGACTTCTTGCTACTCTGGAGCAGCTTGTTGGTAGAGGTTTTGTACTTTGAAACAAAGTAACAGGGATGTTTTCATACAGTATTTTTTTCAGAGATTATGCACTGTCCATTAATAGTTTTGTAATTGCTGCTTGAAAATACGCATTTTAAAAATGTAAACAAAACATTTTATTTTATTTCTTCTCTTGGCACGAGTGCTGTCGCTTCTTTCTAATCAGCACTCTGGAGCTCGGTCAGAAACGCCTCATGTGGCACAGCTTGGGCTGAAGTTACAGTTTCACCCATTTAGTTTTATGATTTTTTTATTTCAGCACTGATGTGTTTTATTTTTTTATGCAGAAGCTCAACTGGACGATCTTCATCCTAAAAATATTCACAGACTGTTTCACACTGATTGCTCATTAGGAGATGCTGTCTGTTTGCATGAATGCATAAAAAGCGACCTACATTTTTGTTTTCTGAACTAAAACGTTCGGTACATTTGGTCATTTAGGTTCAACACTGTTCATGATGCAAACATTTGATCCTGGGATGTTGGTCAAATGAATCAGTTTAAAGCTAAAAGCATCCACGTGTTCAGATTGTTCTTGATTTTATTTCCTCACATTTCATACTCAGTAAGCATTTGTAAGTCAGTCAGTGTCTTTCTTTCAGTTCAACTTCAGAGTGAAAATGAGAGGTTGTGTGTTTTTGCACAGCTGAGATGTAGCTGAAGCCCTCAGAGCCTCTCTGTTTACACACTCCATCCTTCCACAGATCTGAACTCTGCTTTCGGTTGTTTTAACGTGCTCTGTAGCCTCCATGGTGGCACCACTGCATAATCGCTCTGAAAGAAATCCAGTTGTCCGTTGTGTGGATCAACTGAAGTGCTCTGCAACTGTGTGAATCCCAGCCCTGCTATTAGACCTCTGTCGATAAATAAAGGTGGTCAACAAATTTGATTGCRCTGTCCCTTTTTATTGTTCTCTTTATTACGTGTCATGCTGCTGGTTTCAAGTGTATTTATTCTTGATGACTCAAACAGACCTAGTATTTAATTACCCTTAGCAAAAAGTATAATATGCAGGTATCCTTTAAGTCAGAGGTTCTCAAACTGGGGTCCCAGGACTCCAGTTTCCACGAGCCCTATTATGGGAGTCCTCAAAAATTTTCAGTAAATRGTTATTTTGGATTTTATTTGAAAAATGAACATGAGGAACAGTGCACTAGTAAAACAAACATACTAAACCAAACAAAAACAATATTCTCATATTTAGGGGTTAAAATGACAGCGTGGGGTTTATGAGGGGGTCCCTGGATGTTTCTCACACTTGTAAGGGGTCCTCAGACCCAAAACGTTTGAGAACCCTGCTTTAAGTATACTAATTTTACATAAATAAGAGTATATTTCCAGTTTACTTTTTATGTACTTATTTAAGATATACTTAAACAAGTTTATCTTATGCTGTACTTGTACTAAAAGTATGCTAAAAGTTCTAAGTATACTTACTTTATACTAATGTTTATATTTTTGACCAAGATAAACGTTAGTAGTACACTGAAAGTACATTTTCACACATACTAGTTTGTTTAGTATATTTCAAGATGAAACTAAAATTATACTTAGAAGAGTACTTTCAGTATACTTCTAAGTATACTTTCGTAAACCAATTGTGGGTCAATTTAGTCCTAGAAGTGTACTTGCTAGTAAACTATCAGTGTACATGGTAAAGAAAATTACACTTCGGGAAATACGCTTTTATATATAGTACTTTAATATACTAATTACATGTACTTAAAGTATACATCTTTTTGGTAAGCTTAAAAACTTAGACATAACAGTTTACTTAAAGTGTACTTTTTATAAACTTATAAAAAAGCACAAATTTAGTACAAACAAGTATTAAATCAGTATACTTTGTAGTACACTCCAAGTACATGATACTTGATATACTTATACTTAAGTATATTACAGTGAACTTCAAGTATACTCCTTTTTGCTAAGGGTAACCAGCAGATAAAGAATTACAGTAATCCAGTCTAAACGTGATAAATGCATGAATCAGTTTTTTTCGCATCATTTTTGGACAAAATATTTCTAATTTTAGTGATATTACACAGGTGGAAGAAGGTATGATTGTTTTGTTACATTTTGTCTTTAGCTTGCTAGTTGTAGTGTATTTTTATGTATTTGTATGCATTTTGGTTTTTCATAAAACAGAAAAAAAAAACTAAGCAACTGGCATCTTTTTAGGCCTGAAAATCAAAATAGGAGAGGTCATGCCCCCAGTTTACCCCCCACCCATAGTTTCATATTATTGACTTGTAATAATTATCAAGCCAAGTTATTTGTATCATGTTCTTATGTCTCCACTCTCAGGCAATCTTTAATGTCACTGATGACATGCAATAGCAAACATTTTGTTTTGTTCAGAGAAATCAAAAGTTGCACAGGATACTATTTACCATCCTTTTTATGAAGATAAGATTGAAGTAAGATGAAAGCACTCCATGTTAATACAAAAAGTAATTTGTATACATTAAATTACATGATTTTAAAATGTAATATTAGAAACAAAGCTGGTATCAATACTAAGATTTGTGGCAGGTGATGCTATTCTTTCTATTATGACAAGTCAAGTCAAACAGGTAAAATTATATTTTATCTTTCAGCCTGAGTATTAGTGTGTTCATAGCCATGAGGTGCCGTTTGTAAAGTTATACAGTCAAAAATTACCACCAATATTTTTGTTTTATTTAGACT